TTTTTTTTAAATGATTTATTTCTTTTCATTGGAAAGTCAGATCTACAGAGAGGAGAGACAGAGAGGAAGATCTTCCATCCGCTGGTTCATTACCCAAGTGGCCACAACGGCCAAACTGAGCCGATCAGAAACCAGGAGACAGGAGCTTCTTCTGGGTTTCCTACGTGGGCACAGGATCCCAAGGCTTTGGGTTGTCCTCTACTGCTTTCCCAGACCACAAACAGGGAGCTGGATGGGATGTGGAGCAGCCAGGACACTAACTGGCACCCATATGGGATCCCGGTGCATGCAAGGTGAGGACTTTAGCCACTAGGCTACCATGCCAGGCCCTGTTCGTATCCTTTTTAAGAGTTTCATCCCCAGCCGTCTTTTGCCATTAGTTTAGCCTACAAGTGGCTTCTCATCTCATCCTCCCAGCTGTGAGCTTTAACAATCAGTCCCTTGGCAACTCTGGTCACCTATTCTCCCAGGCTCAACTTTGGGGACAAGGACAACACAGGATGTTCGAAGAGGGTTGGCTATGCTGCCAACGCCAGGTGTCACCCAAGTCCAAGTCCCCCAGCGAATGCTCTCCCCTCCTGGTCCCCACTCACCCAGGGCTTCTGCTCCCATCACAGCCTTCCCTCCAGCTTCTGGATCATGCCCAGGGAGACCCTGCCAGCCTCCCTGTCACCAAGGCAATCACTCTTCTCCCTTAGTGGCACCAGGGGGCAGCATTGCTCCACAGACGTGCCATGGCTTGGCACCACTGCCATCCCACCCACTCAGGAGCACCCACAGAGCACCCCACATGTGGCCCACAACCACTGGATCTGGTCAGGACCATCTCACAGCTTGCACCCCTCCTGTATGGGGACTCTCCCTGCTGCTAGCCAGGCTGCCCACCCTGCCCGCGACAAGGCAGCCCTGCCTGAGGGAGTTTTGAGAGGCTCCCAGTCAGTCTTATGGAAACCAAAAAGTCTTGGGGTTTCAAAACCAGAAAATCCGTTGCGAAGCATTGCCGTGTGAAACCGGAGATCCAGGGATCTGGGGCTTCTAGAACTCTACGTATCCACACTTCCGTGCCATCTCTCCACCTTTACATATCAGCTCAGATTGTCTCAGTGCTGTGCCAGGCAAGCGATGGAAGTCTGCCCAGGGCTGTGGTTCTCCGTGCGGCTCAGCGGCAAGAGGAAGCAAAACCCGCAAAAGCGCCGGGCTTAGGCTGTGACACCCTCACCCCGCGTGGGAGCAGCAGCCTGAGGCCCAGCTTCTCGCTGGCACCCGTGGGAGGCAGCAGACGGGCAGCTCAAGTCCAGGGGTTCTGCCACCCACCTGGGAGCCCGGGGTGAAGTTTTCGTCTCCTTACCAAGCCCTGGCTTAGCTTGGGCATCTGCACGGGGACACAGCAGATGGAAGCTCTGTCACTGCTTTTCAAATGTTTTTAAAAAGTAGAAAACAGCTTCAGACACTCAGGTGCCATAGTCGTGATGTGGGCAATGGATATATGAATTTCTACCACAATTCTCCTCTCACAGAGCAATAAGAAAACGCTAAGCCGACTAGTACTTATTTAGTGGCGAGGGACTTGGCGCGGGCCGCCCCACAGAGAGAAATAACCAACGTGAACGTGAGGCAGAGAACAACCGAAACCAGCACATCCAGCGAAATCCGGCTGCGAACTGTCGGAAGCAGAAAGAGATACCTCTTCTCACAGAATTTTCCTCAGGGAAGAATGAAAGATGGCGCTCAACAGCGCCCACCTCCTTCTATCAGGAAGGGAGCAGACAGCGGACCGGAGGTGGAGTCTGAGCATGCGCCCTGGCCCCGCCTGGGACAGATGCGCCCTGGGAAAGTGGGAGCGGATGGAACTTAAAGATTATAGCTTGCCCTCACCTAGGGTCTGATGACATCAGAACCATAGCCAGGAGCCCCGCGTGGCACTCAGAGATAAAAGGATTGTGAATTTCCTTCTGGACTCAGTAACAGAGCTTTCTCTGGTTCTGATCTAGTTCCAGCCTTGGCTCCCAGCCCTCTCTTACACCAACCAACAGGTGACCTGAGTTGCCAAGGGACTGATTGTTAAAGTTCACAGCTGGGAGGATGAGATGAGAAGCAGCTCGTAGGCTAATGAGCCCCAAAATTAGCTCTGGTAGACAGAGACTAATAAAGGCCAGCTAGTTGATAATCACTCAGCTTGTACCTTACTGAACAGGCTTCCCATTTGGCTTTTCAGACAGACAGAGAGAGACATTGATAAAGAAAGTCTGAAACAGCCAGGGAAAAGGCCTACTAGCCTATAATCACTCAGCCTGTACTCACTGCTCAGACTCCCTATTTGCTTCTCCTGGACTTTACTAGGTAGGATGTAGAGTTAAATTCTTCCTCACGGGCCCAGCGAGGTGGCGCAAGTGGTTAAGGTCCTCGCCTTGCATGCCCGGGATCCCATATTGGCGCCGGTTCTATCCCGGCAGCCCCGCTTCCCTTCCAGCTCCCTGCCTGTGACCCGGGAGGGCAGTCGAGGATGGCCCAAAGCTTTGGGACCCTGTACCCGTGTGGGAGGCCCGGAAGTCTCCTGGCTTCGGATCGGCATAGCATCAACTGTTGCGCTCACTTGGGGACTGAATCATCGGACGGAAGATCTTCCTCTCTGTCTCTCCTCTCTGTATATCCGCCTTTCCAATAAAAAAAAATAAAAAATAAATCTTTAAAAAAAAATTCTTCCTCACTCACTAGGTTGTTGGAGATTTCCCTGCTCACCTGCCTAAAACGTTTCTATTCAATTGTTAAAATGCAAATTTCTGTAAAACTATGCTTAATCACTATATACTGCAAAGTTTAAATTGTGGCTTAAGATTATCCCCCAAAACTTTATCAATTTATGACTGTTAATACTAAACAAGATGTAACTGCATAGAAACTTTAATGTTAAGTTTGTACTCAGCTGTTGTATATATGATGGGGCCCAGGGGCTGTGGCCAATACTTCCCATTTCCAATCCAGTTTCCTACACAACTGGAGGCAATGGCATTGGCCACAGCCCCTGGGCCCCTGTCACCGTGTAGGAGACCTGGGGCTCCACCTTTGACCCTCTGGGCCTCTGTGCAGGGCCTCACTGCCCTCAATTTGGACTTGAACAAAGCTGTAAGTACAGCACACCCACACTGAGAGAGCTGGTCAGCCATGACAACAGTGGGTGTCTTGGGGCACTGTACTTTGTCAGACACTGCAGGCATGGAATTCTAGAACCAGGAAACCTTGGAACCTGCAAAGGTGAAGGAAAATAGTTGTTGGTCAATAGTGCGGGGAGGTGCCAGGCACCTGCTGAGGGTCCACTCACAGGGGTCCATTGGCATGGCAGCCTTGGGTGTTGTCCCACTAGGAGTGAAGGCTAGTGAAGGCTGGGGAGAACTCAGCTGGCTGAAGGCAAGCAGGCACCATTCCGTGAATTGGGGGAGACCCTGGACTTGGAGGAGGCCTCGAACTATACCAGAGGAGCTGTGAGTCCCCTCGAACTTCCCCACAGGAAGTTCCCTCACTGTCCCCTCCTGGGCCTGGCAGGAGCCTGCACAACCAAGTCACCTGCTGAACCGTCTGTTCTGGAAACAAGACAAGCAAGAGGACTGAGCATAATGGACCCCTGGCAAAGACATCTTGGCTTCTGCCACCTGTTGTTGGAGATGGGACAGTATGATGCATAGACAAGGAGGGAGAGGTTAAAGGCCCCCAAGACAGTATGCTGCCCACAGCAGGTGGCCACAGGCTCAAGTGTAGTTTAAAAAGGTTGTAATGAGGCCAGCTTTGGAGCACAGCAAATTAAGCCCCTACTTGCAATGCTAGCATCCCATACAAGAGTGATGGCTCAAAATCCGGCTCTCTGCTTCCATCCAGATCCCTGCTAGTAAGTCTGGGAAAATGATGTAACATAGTCCAAGTGCCTGGGCCCCTGTCATCCATGTGGAAGACCTGGGTGGAGTTCCAGGCTCCTGGCTTTTGGCTTGGCTCTGGCTTGGCTCAGGTTGGTGGGCATTTGGGGAGTGAACCAGCACATGGAATCTCTTTCTCTGTCTCTCTGTCTCTCTCTCTCTCTCTCCCTCTCCTTCTGGTACTGTTTCAAATAAATAAGTACAAAAAGTTGTCATGGAGTATCCCAAATGAACACACAAATTCTCCAAGCACTGTAGGGAAGCCAGAGACCATCAGGTCAGGCCACCCAGCTGGAGACCCAGAAGGCAGAAATGACAGGGTAGAATGGGTCCTCCCCTGCCCACAGGACCCCAGCCGTGTGTGCCCACAGGCCGGCACGTACACATAGCAGCCACACATGTGCAGACACAGCACTGCTGCTGGTGCCCTGTAGTCAGCCTATGGGCCTTGTCCACCTGTTCTGACATTTTACACGCTGAGTTCCAGACACCGAATGCAGAAATGAATGCAACTGCAACAGTTCCTGGAAGCCAAGGCCAAGGCAAACGGGGGATCCTGGCCTCACCCTGACTCGCTCAGGCCCTGGGTCTCCCCAGCTCTCTGGCGCCCTCGTGTGCCCCAGCCAAGAAGAGCCAGAGACCCTCAGTGAAGTTCTTGGAGAGGCAGAACTCACTGAGCCTTCCAATGCTGGCCCACTGCTGCCTTCACGCCCCAGCAACAGGGTCAGGATGCCTGGATGGGATCAAGCAAAAGAAGGGAACCCAGGGAAGCAGAGGAGGAAAACCAAGAGGAGTGGCTCCCAGGCAAGCTTCATCTGCACTGTGAATCTCCCACCCACCCCAGGGGAACCCCTCGTTTGGAGGTTAATCGCCCAAATCATCAGATCCTGTGGGGTCAGGATCAAAGAAACAACACACTGGCAGGCTGGAAACATGACCATCACAGATACTCTACAGAAGGAAGAGACCGAGCAGGGTTTTACCTTTTTATTTTCACAGTCCTTTTGGACAATTTGACTTTTTTTTTAATACAATGTACATGTGCTACTTTTACAATTTAAAAAATGTAAAAAAAAAAAAAGTGATTTTTTAAAAAAAAAATGTAAAGAAATATCACAGTGGAACAAGAAGTGGAATGTCAGCTTTGAGGACGGATCTCTGGGTTGCTGTGTCTCCCACCGCCAGCCTCTGTCCTGCGGCATTCCAGGAAGGTCAGCAGTGTGAGTCAAGTCAGGGAAATGAAGTTCATATGCAGAGTGAGAGAGAAAGCCACCACCACCGGGAATCCGGCCCCACCCACACAGCGTTGAGTGGCAGCAGAGGTGCACCTGCCAGCATGGGCAAGACATGGGCTCACATGGCGAAAGCCGTAAAGAAGATGGACATCTTGGCCAAGAAGGTGGTGACAGAGCCCTGCCGCCACAGCTTCATCTCCACATCCAGGGCGAAGTCCCGGGGCTCCAGCACCGACCGCTGCAGTGACACCGCACCCGTGTAGGCATTGAGCCTACTTGTGCCAAAGTAGCCCTCCTCATTGCCCTTGACAATAGTCAAAGAGATGGTGTCCCCCGTGAAAGCCGGTGCTGGGCCGATGCGGAAGATGTGGGTGGGCACCAGGAGACCTGTCTGTAAGTTGAGCTGGTAGTATGTGATGCGTGCTGGTGAGTTCTGGCACTCCACGAAGTCATGGCACGTAGTGCGCTCGCACTTCCTGTGGGATGGTGGGTCATTTGGTCAGCAGGGGGCTGAGGCTCATGGATACCCAATCAGCATGTGGCACTATAGGGCAGCAGGCAGTCTCAAGAGACAGCTGAGCCTTAGGAGCCCAGCAGCCCCTGGTAACTCTGCCTCTGAGCCTCACTTTCCTTGTCTGTGCAATGGGTTGAGAACAGCCTCATAGCTTCATGGGGAGCACAGGGTGTGTATAAAAACCAGGCTGTGCTTCGCAGGGCTGGACTGGGCTGGCCAGCAGTGTCTTCCTCACTTTCTTCTCCCCTCTTTCTCCTTCCTCCCTTCCTTTTTCCCAGTAGGCCCAGCCACACCTTGCCTGGTACCCTCCCAGGCATCCCTCCCACCCCTCTATCGTGCTGGCCTGCAAGGCAGGTGACAGAAGTACTGATCTGTCACATCCAGAGTTGAGCTTTTGGACTGTCACTCGCTCTCTTGCTGACTAGGGCTGGTCCATGTCACAGCTCAAGCAGCTCCACATGGTAAGGCCACATTGGTGAGGAGAGCAGGTGGACCCACAGGCCCGAGTGAACCTTCAGGGCAGGTTGCTCAAGACCACAACTTCTGGAGACCCTGAACCAGGCCCACCCAAGCCCCAGACCAGGTACAAGAGCCAAGGCTCCCAGGACACACAGGAAGTACTGAGGCAGCTTGTCACCAGCAGGACACATGGTCTTATCTGTGTGCCTGCCAAGGACAGTGCAAGCTCACCTGAGTTCTCGCTCTGATGCCTATACTAAGCTTTCTGTCTGTAAGGCACAATCTTTGGCCTAGGTCCTTATGACCAGAGACCCAACAGTCTATGGGGTGTGGAGAGCTTGTAGGAGCAAGGCCCCTCCGGGGTAGAGAGTGGAGATGGGGGAACTCACGTTTCAGAGACACGGACATAGTTGGGCGGACACTGGAGATGCAGGCAGCGGAAGCTGCCCTGGATGTTGTGACAGGTCTCAGCCTCAGAGCAGTTGTGTGTGCCCAGCGCACATTCGTCCAGGTCTGTGGGGGATGAGAGGAGAGTGGAAGGGGCCACCAGGCTGGCAGCCTAGGCCTTGGAGCAGCCCTACAGTGCCCCCATACCCCACCTGCCTGCTCAGCCCAGCAGCAGGAGACCCTGCTTTCCAAAGGTCATGTCCCTGATGGCCTCTCTCACTCAGGATACAACCCAAGTCCCTCCCTTGGATAGCAAGCTCTTTGGGGGCAGGGCCTCTCCGGCCCCTCTCTGAGCCCCTCCCCATCCAGTGGGCTGCAGTCCTGTTGAACGCCTGTGGTGTGCTTCATCCCACGTCAGGGCCTCTGCATCTCACTGTCGCTGCAAGAACACTTGCCCCACATCTCCCATGGCCAGCTCCTTCTCATCTATTAGGTTCTTGGACCCTGTGTCACCTCCTCCAGGGTGGCCTGACCACCACAGTGGTCTCTCTTGCCCTGTATCCTCTGTCCCAACCTATCCTTTCTTTCTCCATTGCTCACCACCTGTGGAGTCTACCAGGTGGTCTTGTGCGGCTGCTCCTTGGCACAGGCTCTAGGAGAGCAAGGTTTGCCATTCTCACCCCCTCAGAGTCCCCAGCCCCCAGCAGTACTGGTACCACTGGAGGGCAACCCAGGAGCAAATGCTCACAAACATCTCTCCCAGGTGCACAGCTGCATGGGTCCCTGTAAGCTCCACGGACAAGCTCATGCTTCCTGAACACCCCCCCACAGAAACATACGGGTGCAACCTCCTACTATCCCATGTCTTTGGAGAACACTGCAGAACAGAGGGACAATGTCTGGGACACTGTAGTTGCTCCACCTGTGTCCTTACCGGACAAGTCTCCTGCCTCCTTAAGACCCCACTCCCACCTACACCCCCATGCCTGTTGTACTCCTGGGACAGGGTCTAGAGTAGAGCCCAACCTAGAGCAGTCTAGTGGACCAAGTGAAAGAAAAACCATCACCTTCATCATGTAGGCACAGCTCTCAGTGCGCTGGCAGTCTGGGCTACCCACCTGGTATCAGCAGACAGCAGGAGGACTTCACGGGCCCACTCAGAGTCTACCCAAGGCCCGAGCAGGTGTGGGGGACTCTGGACTCACCCTTGCAGGACCTCCCGTTGGCTGTCATGGCGTAGCCCTGCTCTGGGCATGCACACTGGTAGCTTCCAGGCACATTGAGGCAGCGGAAGGTGCAAAGGATGCTGGCGCCCTGAGCACACTCATCAATGTCTGCCAGAGAAAGGAGTGGTACTGTGAGTCCCGCCCACCTGCAGCACCCGCCACTTAAGGCACCCCAGGCAGTTCAGGGCTCCAAAGGCAGAAGGCAGATGCCCAAAGTCACAGAGCAAAACTGGACTCTGCAAGGCAGTGCCAACTCCCTGGGAGTGCTCCCTGGCTGAGAGCCAATCAGGAACAGCCATGGGCCTGGGCCTTTGGGACATCGGATCTTTTTGTCCTCTGTCCTACCAGAGAAGGACCCTGAGCCCCGTTTTGTAAAGCAGCAGCCTGGGATCAGAGTAGAAGGGCCATCTCGTCAAGGCTGCAAAGTCAGCAAAACGTGGGGCTGGGACCCCACTTCGGATGTGGCTCTCTAACATTTCTAAGCACCCCAATCTCTATAGGAGCCTGGTACATATTGGCCAGGGGCTCCTGTGTTAGGGGCCCTGGCAGCCTACCTTTGCAGGTGTGTCCATCCTCGGCCAGCTGGTAACCCTGGCGACAGTAGCACTGGTAGGAGCCGTAGATGTTGGCACACTCCTGGCTGCAGCGCTGGGCCTCACATTCGTTCACGTCTGTGGGGACAGCAGCTGGCAATCATGGCAGGGTCCCCGGCTTGCCTGGAGCTTTGTCTTGTGGGGGCCATTCATCCCAGCCTCCCCCTTAGGGTTAAGGGGGGATACAGAGGCACAGGAAAGGGAAGGAGACTGCCAAGGCACATGGCTGAGGTAGTGGCAGGGCTCTCCCTCCTGGCCACACTCGGCCAAGTTCAGGGACACAGCTATGCACACAATGTGGCTCCTCACAGGGTCAGCATGATGTGTGGTGGGAGGGAACTGGGACATGAGACATATAATAAGGACATGAGAAGGTAGCAGGTGTCCCAGAGGAAGTTAAAGCAGAGATTGGGTGGGGACTTGGGGAGGGTACCTGTATAAGGTGCAGTGTTCAAGAAATTGATCAGTAAGAAACTTGTAAGAGGGATGGGGCAGGTGGGAGAAGGGTTATTCAAAGCAGAAGGTCAGCGTGTGCCTAGGTCCTGGGGTCAGGGCATGTTCAGTGTATTCCAAGTGCAGCAAGGCAGTCCCTGGTATGACGGAGGCCAACTGGGGGAGCTGGGACTTCATGTTACCCAAAGTGTTTATTCACAAGACACTGCAATGCACGCGCACAGGAGTGACCACAGGCATTAGCTCCACAGGGCTCAGAGCCCACAGGAGAACCCCTGAGCAGAGCAGGTACTCATAGGTGGGGATAATGTCACAGCCCGACCTGCCCACACTCCCCTGCCTGTACTGGCCCTCATGCAGGGGAGCTCAGGTGATTAGGAAAGGCTCACAGTCTCCAGAGAGGACTCAGCAGAGCACATCTCACCAGCAGAACAGTGAGAAATGACTGCAGAGGAATGCAGAACAACAGCAGGTCAACGGGGCCACTGCCCCCAGGCTACCTCAGTTTGGGCCTCACCCCCTCATTGAGCAGTCTGTGGCCTTCCCTAACACTGGTCCCTGCCATGCCTGTCCCTGCCACACTACACCAATGAGTGCAGACTGGGCGACAGCCTCTTCAGCAGCCCTTACAAGCACCTGTGCCCCACACAGCTGAGCCCAGACCTCACACGCAGCCTGGGGGTGGGGCAGCCTGCATACCTGCTTCACCAAACTTCACCTCTGCTCTTTCCAAGCTCAAAGTCACCAGAAGCAGGTGGGTTTTGCACAAATATTTCTGACTCCTGAAAAGTGGGGCCACTCTGGGCCTGCACACTTGTTGGCAGCAGTCTGCAGGGGCCACATGGCTACCATTCCTGCAGGTGCCTTAGAGATGCCAGGGGCTCTGTCTTGTGCATCGTGCATTCACATTCCCTGCCTACAACTTCAGCTCATGGCAGCCAAGGTGGACTAGGCATTTGGTCCTGAAAGTCATGCCAGCCCTGAGGGGCTCTTGGGGGCCAGAGGGTGAAGAACGATGCCAGAGAGACATAGTTCCTCTGGTCTGGGGAGATGGGCCCCCAGGTCCTGGGGAAGAATTCAAGGCAGGAGCCAGTGGGACCAGCAAAGATGGCATGAAGTAGACGGAGGAGGACAGAAGGGGCGGCTGCACGGGGAGCATGGGGAGAGGCCAGCAAGACTCGGGCCTGCACGTGGTAGATGCATCCAGACCTTCCAGGGAGAGCCGGGTGGCGGGGGCTTGAGGTCAGTGGTACCTTCACAGTGTTTGCCATCAGCAGCCAGCAGGAAGCCGGAGGCACAGGAGCAGCGGTAGGAGCCAACTGTGTTCTCACACGTGTGCTGGCACAGACGGCCAGGTGATGCCCAGCACTCGTTCACGTCTGTGGGAAACATGGATGGCAAGCCCAAGGTGGGCGGTGTTGCCCAGGGCGGAAGAAAGGGCCAGGGGTGGGGCGAGGCCAGAAGGGAGGGATGTGGCGGAGAGGCCTGGCAAAAGAAAAACAGCAAGTCAGAGGGAGGTGAGAAGCCACAACAGGACAGCAGAACCAAGAGGCAAGAAGGCCAGAGGAAGCAGCCACTGAGCTGGAAACCACAAGAAGAAGCAGGAAGGGCCTGAGGAAGCAGGACAGGACAGCAGAGGACCTGGGGAGGCTGGTGGGAGGCCAGCAGCAAGAACAGGGGGCTTTGGGCAGACAGGCACTGCTCAGGCAGAGTGGGTGCTGGGGTTGTCAGGTGAGGGGGGGCAGTCCCAGGCCTCCTTGGAGGAAGGGAGGGGTTCCAAGACCCCAGCTCCTCCTACCGATGCACGCCCGGCCAAAAGCATCCCGCTGGAAGCCGGCTTTGCAGTCACAGCGGTAGGAGCCAGGGAGATTGTGGCATAGCTGGCCCTCGCCACAACGGTGCACGCCCGTCTCACATTCGTTCACGTCTGCAGGGGGATGGGGGGTTGGAGCAGGACATCCTGAGGCCCAGGCACTTGCTGCACAGGGCCCTCCCAGCCTTGGGCATGGGAATCCCCCGGGCAGGCCCAGGGCAGTGGGCAGACATCCTCACCCACACACTTGGTCCCATCCTCGTTGGCGTGGTAACCACGGCTGCAGAGCAACTGGTTCCGCTGGCACGTGTAGGACCCCACGGTGTTGATGCAGCTGAAGCCAGGCCGGCAGGGCTCCGAGAGCGAGGTGCACTCATTAATGTCTGCAAAGGTGGCTGTGAGGGACAGGCAGCCGGGCACAGGCCTCTCCCCGCCACCTCAGTACCCGGGCCTGGACCGGACTGGGAGATGGCCAGTCCCAGACTTCGGGCCAGCCCTGTCCTGTCCCCCATGACTTGAAGGGATCCACCTCCCAGAACATGGGCTGGGACCCACACTCTCTTCACATCTACCCTGTTGGAGCAGTTAGAGGGAACAGGTAAGCCACCCCCTGTGCCTGCTTCTGCAGGAGCAGCCCAGCCTCCTCCATCTGTCCTCAACTTATCACCCAGCACACATCACCTCCGAATGGCTTCCCTTGCGTTCCTTCAAATCCTCAGGTCCTTGCCCAAACCATCCTGATCACCAGTCCATGCAGAGGAACCTCTCATTCAAGGTTCATCTCCCACTTAGGGTTTTGTTATTTACCAAAGTACCCATGGGGCCAGCATTGTGGCATAGTGGGTAAAGCTACTGCCACAAACAGTTCATGTCCCAGCTGCTCCACAAGCCAGTCCTTCTGCCTCAGCCTCTGCCTCATCCAATGCCAATCCCCCACCCAGACCAAGCATGGTCTCACACCCCTTGACTCACCCACACAGTTGCCCTCAGGGTCCTGCAGGAATCCCTGCATGCAACGCTGCCGTGCCTGGCAGTAGAATGAGCCCTTGGTGTTCTGGCACAAGAAACCCGCCTGGCAGTTGTGCGTGCCCTTGGCACACTCGTCCACATCTGCCACACAGAAGCCAGGCATCAGGGGTGGCTGAGACCTGCACACACCCTCACCCACAGGGCATCTCACAGGTTTGCTGCGTCCCCAGAAGCCATAGAGGCTCTGACCTCCCACCCCCACAGCTCACAGCACAAAAGGGCTTCTGGAAGCTCATGGAAAATGCGCATTCTGCGAGAAAACTGGGCTTTTTCACATGTTCCTTAAGTGCCCTGGTCATGTGATGCAGCCACATCCACCAAGCTTTCCCTGGTCCCTGGCCATATTCCTGGCCCTCAGAGATGTCTTTTCCCATCATGCTCCTAACTTTAAGAAGCAGGTGCTGATTCATCCCCATCTTCCTAGCAGGCTCACAGCTGGGCAGACTGGGACCAGAACCCTGGGAACTTGTCACTGCTCTACACCTGCCCTGCTGGAGTGCACCGGAGTGGGACAAACACTGTGATTCCTAAGTGAGCCCTGGTGTCCACACTACGGGATGTGGCGTCAGTGACACCAGGGCTCCAGCCCCTGCAACCATGTTCTCTGAGCATGCCAACCTGCAAGGTTCCACATCTGCTTGCTATTCCTTCAGCTGGGAACAGCCTTCCCAGGAGCTGCTCAGCATCCCAGCCTCAGCTACACATTCAGCACCACCAGGGGGGCCTCCTTGTGCTCCCCCTGAATGGCACCTGCCCACAGCTATGCTACTATCTGCCTAAGAGCCTGTGCATATCCTGCCCCCTCCACCATCAGCCAGCACTCACCTGGACCCCTAGGACCAGGTACCTAGCCTCTCACCTGGAACCCTGCAACCCAGCACCCAGCACCTCATCTGGACCCCTGGGACCGGTACCTATCACTTCATCTGAACCCCTGGGACCCAGAACGTAAAGGCTGTGTAAGAGCAACTTGGAATAATTTGTGGATGTTAAAAGGCAGATTGAACTAAAACCTCTCCTCCTTTCTAGGAAGCCAGAACTTTCCAGTGAACAGGACAAAAGTGACCTTTCCACGGGGAGGCATGGACGGGTGTCAGGGGCACCTCAATAGGGGAGGGCAACAGCAATGCCAGCAGACCCTAGTTCCACCATCCTGCCCCCTCTACCACCACCACTTCCTGTGAGGTCTCCCCAAAGGCAGCAAATCTGAAGGCTAGAATGCTCTGGGCAGGCTGCGGGTATGACCAAGCCTGGTCATGGGCAGGGACACACGAGGGGCGGGGCTGGGCAGGGCGGGGCAGGGCCGGCTGCTGCCCCACTCACCCTCACACTCGCCGTCCTCCAGCACATAGCCTGGCTCACAGGTGAGCGCCTTGTAGCAGCGGAAGGAGCCGACCGTGTTCACGCAGTGCTCGCCCCGGCTGCACGTGTGTAGGTCAGTCACACACTCATTGATGTCTGCAGGGAGAACCAGGCCATCAGAGGCTGTGGGGAGCTCCAGGACGGTGGAGGAGGATGCCAGCCAGGGAGCTCCTCGGGCCTACTGCCAGACCCTGCCCTCCAAGAAGTCACTGTCCAGGGAGCTGCAAGCAGGCAACATCCCCTTATCCATGCAGCCCGTCGTTCAAGAAAGCCTGAGCACGCCACGCCCCCGCACAGTGCATCAACGCACAAAATGGGACTGCGTGTCCCTGCAGAGCCACATTCAGGAGCAGAGACATCAGACAGGGTCAGGTGGGGAGGGAAGGGGCTATGTTTCGAGGAAGAGGCATCAGAAGTGAATGAACCCAGTGCGAAGTCACTGGAGCAAGGCTCTGAGGTTTCAGAATGACCCCGACCCCAGACAGTGGTGGCAGAGGGGCCAGCCACGTGGGGCCAGTCAGGAGACAGGTGCAGCTGCGGAGGGGCAGATGGAGAAGCATGTGAGCTGAGGGCTCCTGGTGGTGAGTATGGAGGCTGTTAGGATGGTTCAGGCAGATGACACGGGTGCCTGGAGCCACCGAACACAGAAGCTCAGAGAAGCAGTCAGGTTCCAGGAATACAGGGAAGGCAGCTCCGACAGGACCCTTTGACGGGAGGAAAAGGAGCCCCAAGGTCAGAGAGGCCCCAGCTGAGCAGCAGGGCACCTGGGGTTCGGGCAAAGCTAGAGACCAGAAGCAGCAGAGACACCTCCAAGTTCAGGAAGGACAGTGTCCAGGGGGAAATGTCACTTGAAAGTGGCCACATGGCTGAGATCACCACGGAGAGACGGTAAAGGCAGCAACCAGGGGCCAACTTCAGGTATGTACCAAGGCTATGCAGCTGGCGAAATGGCAGGCCAGCAAAGGAGAAAGCAAAGGAGAACTGCCCAAGGGCCAGGTGGGACCAGAGAAGCCATGGGAAGGCCCCAGTTCCTGTCTCCGCCACACTGCATCTGGGAGGGGAGCACCCCGCCCCCCCAATCACCTGCTCATCCAGTCACTGGACACATGCTAGCACCTGCACCCTACGCCAGCCACGAGTGTCGGCCACGGCCCCTGTCCTTAAAGCGAGGCCAGTCCAGGAGCAGGCACAGGACGGGCAGTGGAGACGCTAACGAGAGAACCCACAGTTCCCACAAGGTCCCCAGGACAAGCTAGGCACTGCCTCTGGTTCTGAACTATGTCGGTTGCTTCTCAGGGTCAATGACAATGACAAAGACAATTAGGGAGCAGGGGACCCCATAGAGCAGCCAGGGGGCAGGACTGTGAGTCTGTGGGCCTACCCAGGTGGACCCTTTGTTGTGCAGGCCTGGCATTTGAGCCCTTTCCCACCATACAGCCCCTGCTGCAGGCTTGGCCCCTGGAAGCAGGTGTACCCCTATAAACCCTCCACAGCAGGAGGCACTTTCTCAGGTGGCCAGGACAGCCCCTGCAGGACACAAAAGGGAGTCCCTGGCAGAGGTTTTGGGGACCTCTGGTTCACATACCTCCAGGGATGGGGAACTCATTACCCCTGCAGGTTGCTTCAGTAAAAACATACTTGTGGTACAGTAAAGACCTAAGCACCTGCACCCACTCAATCCATCTCCACGGTGATCCTTTGAGGTGGGTCCAATGATCTCGTTCCAAGATGAGGTAATTGAGGCTCCCAGGGGGTAAGGCTTGGTCAAGGTCCCAAGACTAGCATGTGGCACAGTTATGGTGGGGGGGCGGGGGGAGACAAATGCTTCATCCTGGCCAAGCCTCCTTTCCCCCCATCTGGGTGAATCAGCACAAGTGGAACAATTCAAGGACAGGCAGGAGAGCCCCTGCAGGATGGAGAGATGCATTCAGGACAGGAGGAAGAGGAGGCATGAACGATGACAACGTGAACATGAAGGATGGGGAGCAGGACGAAGGGCATCACTGAGGGGCTGTGCACGATGGGGCGGAAGGCAGACTGAGGACATGGATGCCTACATTCTGCTGAATGCAACGGACCCTAGCTTCCTCCCTCCCAGAGCCTGCTTTCAGCTTCCATCAGCACAAGGCCTTATTCCACAGCCACCACAGAGCCTGCACGTTTGGGCACAGCAACAACACACACACATACACACAGAGACCTGACCCAGACGGGACACACTGCCCGGCCCACAGGTAAGCAGGTATGAAAGGAGGGTGCATGTTGTGCCCATGACTGCAGGCCCCGGGGCAACCATGTCAGTGGGGGGTTACACAGCCCCTGTGCCATGGGCCCATGTCCCAGCAGTGGGGCATGAAGAAGGAAGGGCTCATGGCCAGGTGGGATGCAGGCCCGAACAGGCAGAGAACACAGACACATTCTGGGCACACTCTGCGCGGTTTCTGCCGCCATACCCACTGCATGCCCACCCTGACATGGAAAGTGATGCCAGCTCCACCTTCTCCATCACGCACACCCAGGTGCCAGCCTAGGTATCAGTCTTTACACCTGCCATGCTCTGCCCCAATCCCTGAGACCTTGAGTCTATCTCTGCTTATGACCTGGAAACAAGGATCTGGAAACAAGCATCTGGTCTACCCTCTTGACTGCCCACTGAGCACACCTGGCACTCCAGGCCCTGCAGGGAAGAGCCACTAACTAGCCCTCACCCCAGCCACATGCAGGCTGGGTAATAAGCACAAGACCTGGCACAGTCCTCTGGCTCTGTGGTGAACACAGAAGCTCAGAATGGACAGACAGTTCTGCGGCAAAGGATGCCAGGCTGGGGAGCAGTGCCAGGGCCCTTCACCTCTGGGGAGAATCCTGGACCCATCTAAGGACAACCTACATGGCGCTGTAGCATGGCACACTCACCAGGCCCTGATTTTGTGCCACACCATGCACAAGCCCCATAAATGTCATCAGAAATCGGCAGGCGAGGACGCCAAGGCTGGCAGACTCATTTGTATTGAGGGCCGAGGAGCTGCTGTCACACTACCTGGACCCCCAGCCCCAACACATTGCCCTACTGCCTGCCTGCGCACCCCCGACCAGGGCGAGCATCTGACGTAAAGCAGCCCCCACTGGAGCGGGCGGACAAGCACAACAGGACACCAGAACAAAAGGGTGTGGCGTGGAGGGAGCACGGAGTGTGAAAGCTCCCATGCAAAGGGCAGACCCTTTGGCATGTGGCCGCGGCAGGGCGGGCTGGCGGTGGAGCAGAGGCCGTGGAGGCGGTGCAGTGGGCAGCAGGCGGGGCTCTCGCTTACCCACGCACTTCCTGTGCATGTTGAGGATAAAGCCCTCGGCACAGAGCACTGTGTGGTTGACACAGTAGAAGGATCCCAGGGTGTTCACACAGAACTGCCGTCGGTTACAATTGTGAGCGCCCATCAGGCACTCGTCTTGGTCTAGTGGCAGCCGCAGGAGAAAACAAAGGGGCCGTTAGAGGGACCTGGCCTGACCCGGGGCACTCAGCAACAGGTGGGGAAGCCGGGATCTAAAGGTGGGCAGGGAGCTGCCGGGGGCCACCCAGCCGGCATATACTGGAGCTGGACCGGGGGCCTACAGCTCAGACTGCAGCGCACCACGTCTGCCCCAGTGAGAACAGAACCAGGTGAGGTTCAGAGAGGGCAGGCGGCCTGCCCACAGGCACACAGCAGGCCAAGGCCCAACACAGCCTCCCAACCATGCTCTGCACATACCCTATGTCCACAAGGAGCTGTAGAACAGAAGGGCTGCAAACATGAGGGCAGGGAAGGCTGGGGGCAGCTGTAACCAGAGCATCTGACCCAGCAGCAAGACCTTCCGCATGCCTTCAGGATCCTGGGAGGTGGGGGCAGCTGTGGCCAGAAAACCCAGCACCCCTGGAACTGAGGCATGGCCCCACTGCCAGAGAGAAAGGCCATGCTATGCTTCCTGGGCATGTCTGCTGCCCTCTCAGAGCCCCCAGTGCCATTTCTGTCCACTTAGGCCTTCTCAGCCAAGGGACTGGATGTGGTCTTTGCACTCCAGGAAAGAGTCTTGATTCTGTTTTTCCGGCAAACACTGGCTGTGTCTGCTGAACTTCACTCGACTCTGTGCTTTCCTAGACTGCAGACTATGTGGCTGACCTGTGGGGCTCCCCAGAGCTCTCGGGCTGCTCCTTGAGCCATCAGGCAGGGAGGGGACTGAAGCAGCAGGTGTTCTACCCAGGGCCCCCCACCTTCCAGTTGGGAGATCCTGGCCACAGAGGCACCATGGAGCCAAAGGTGGTTGCTGGAGTGTGCCCTATGCACTGCCAGCCCCTTCTGGGAATGGCAGGGCAGCTTATGGTCCTCCATACCCATTCCTTGTCCTTGATTATAGCAATGGAGCCCAACAAGAGACTCTATCCCTAGAGGTATGTGGGGGATGGACATGGACACTGCATCTTCTGTCTGCCCTTGAAACAACAGGCATCAGGGGCTAGCATGGGGACATATCAGGCTAATCCTCAGCCTGAGGTGCTGGCATCCCATATGGATGTTGCTTACACTGCTTCCTATTCAGCTCCCTGTTAATGACTTGAGAAAGCAGTGGAGGATGGCTCAAGGCCTTGGGTTCCTGTACCCGCATAGAAGATTCAGAGGAAGCTACTGGCTGCTGGCTTCAGATCCACCCAGTACTGGGCAGGGTGACTATTTGGAGTAGGGAACCAGAAAACGGAATATTTCTCTTTATCTTGCTGCAATTCTTTTACGATAAATCAATCTTTAAAAAGAAAAAAAAAAAAAACATTACATGGACCCAGAGGCCACAAACCACACACACAGCCAACTGGCAAGCCCAGGGCAGGTGCAAGTGGCAGCCACAGACCAGCAGCATCTGCTTCCCCAGGACCTTGTTACAAACACGATCCTCACGCCCCACCCCGGACCCATTCATCAGCATCAGAAGAGTCCCTGTCCCCACCAGGTTCCCTGGGGACACAGCTGCAGGCCCGCATCTGAGAACACTGTTCCAGGAGGCGGCAGGGCCACCCGGCAGGAGGAGAGCAGCCAGTTCCCCACCCCGCCAGCCCTGTCTTGGGTTTGCACAAGCTACTCACCCTCACAGGAGACGCCGTCCGCCATGATGGCATAGCCGGCAAAGCAGGAACACATGGCAGAGCCCCCAACAATGCTGCACACCTGCCTGCAAGGCCCGTTGTCTGCAACAAAACCACGTGCATCAGAGCAAGCCCAAGAGGCTGCTCTGCAGTAGCCTGCTCTGGCTGGCCTTCCCTCTCCCCTCCAGCTCCCCCACCTTACAGACACAGAGAGCCCAGGAACCCCACCCCAGTCACTGGCCAGGCCCCTTTCCCAGGGTCACTCACTCTATTATCTCTAGCACTGGCCAGGGTCAGGAGCACTGACCTGGATCACCTCCACCCACCTCTGGGATCCCAACCCAGCCCTCAAGGGACAGCAATGACAGTGAGCAGGAGCCAGGCAAGGGTCTGCTATTTCAGCTTCCACCAGAATGGAGACAGACGGTAGGTGCGCATGTACACACACACACACACACACACACACACACACACACCAGGCCACATCCCTGCCCCCATCTCACTTCCCCACTCAGCCCAATTAGTCCTAGGTCTGGCTTCCTGAGCTACAGCCTTAGCCCCACACCCAACAGCAGTCAGAAGAGCCCTTTGAGGGCACAGCAGAAGCAACTACTTGGGAGGGGTCTGGATGCCCATACTCAGTGCTCAGGAGGGTGCATGCCCCCTGCAGCCCCTTTGCTCACCTTTGCAGGTATTGGGCTGTGGCAAGGGCAATGGGATGGTGTTGGGGGCCTCTTGTACAGATTCCGGCTGTGAGGCATCACCGTCTGTCCGGGCAGAGCAGAAAGGAGGGAAGATCACATCTTCTCATTGGTCCAACAGGCACCACCAGCCCTCCAGCCTGGGCATCACATGGACCCTGACCCATCGTCTCATCTCAGCTGCCATCCCGTCTCTAGGAGAGGAAGCCGAGGTTCCAGGTGCAGGTGCACCTTGGACAGCCGGAGACCGGGAGGGAATGGGCATCAGGTGTAGAAATGAATTCCGCCCTGAACAGCCAGCAAGGAGAATGCTCCAGCTGACTACCTGACTGACCATCAGATGCTCAGTGCTGGAGACACTGCTGGATTTGCTGCGCTTGAATCCAGGGCATGGCTCTGGACCTAGTCAGGCAGATGGGGCTCCTGGAGGGAAGCTTCTATCTACCCGGCCCCTCACTCCCCCATTCCTGTGTGCCACCAGCACCTGCTGCTTCTAGCAAGTGAGGTGGTGGGAGCACGGTGCCCACTCCTCCAGGGAATCTCACATCTCACACCCCCCTGCCCCGCCACTGACCTGGACGGCATGTGCGGCCATCGTCCTGCAGCGAGAAGCCAGGAAAGCAGTCGCAGCGGTAGGAGCCCACAGTGTTGATGCACAGGTGCTGGCACAGCTCCCCAGGGAGCAGCAGGCATTCGTCCTGGTCGTCCCCCGGCAGGCTATTGGGCAGCTCAGCCTCTGTGCCCAGCGAAAGGGCCTCCCGGCTTATCGCCTCCACCTCCGACACTGCAGTGGGAGGCAGCACTCAGGCAGCTTGGTAGAGAATACAGACCACAGAAAACCGACACAGCTCCCGACAAGGACCTCTGGGTGCCAGCACGCAGGACAGATGGACAGAAGAGTGCACAGAAGATGAAGAAGGAAGTGGACGCATGTGTGGAGACATAGAAACAGATGGGGGAGGGGTGGGAATGCGAGTGGATTGGAAGTAGGATGGGAATGGGGGAGAAGTGCGGATGGGAAAACAGGATGGAAATGAGAGAAAGGATGTGTGGGTAGGTGGATAGGAGGACAGGTGGATAGATGGGTAAGTGAATGGCTGGATGGATAATGATAGCAGTGGGCGGCTAGGTGGATAGATAGATGGGCAACTAGATGGTGGATGGATGGGTACATAGATGGATAAGCAAATGAGTGGTGGATGGGTAACTGAATAGGCGGATGGGTAGATGGATGGATGGATGGACAGGTAGAAGGATGAATGGGTTGTATGAGTAGATAGGTGTACGTGTGAATGGAGAATGGGCTGGTGACTGGATAGAGAGGAAGATGAGCAGAGGCGTAGAAGGTGGGGAGTGGATAGTGGAAGCCAATGGTGGCAGCTGGTGCTAGGGAAGGGTAGTAAGAGGCACACAGGACTCAACAAGAGCCATCTCAGAAACAATGGGGTGACAGTTCCAGGCCCAGGAACTCTGTCTAGAGCGTCACAGCTGACCACAGACCCAGGGTCCTCACCAAAGGCCCACCATTTTCCCCCAACCTCCCCCAGTGCCCAAGCCAGGGCAGGGCAGCACCCACCTCTCCGTGGCGCTACCGCAGGCTCCGGGGGCCGGCGGGCCTCAGGCACCATGAGGGGGTCCTCTCCTTCGCAGCAGGAGAGCATGACGTGGTTGCAGGGGTAGCCCAGGTTGGGGTTGGATTCGCACGCCTGGCCCTCGGCCCGCACACGCAGTCCCAGGCCACAACAGTCACAGCATTGCTGCAGGGGAAAGCCTGGCTGTCACTATCTGGGTCTGGCTTTCTCCATGCTTGTGAGCCTTTGGTATCCACATGGGATCCCAGGACATAGGCAAGAGCCAGTGCGAGTTTTTGAAGATAACTAAATAAACAGCCTTTGGTGGGAAGAACTAGAAATCTGCCTTCAGCCACATTCCCTATCAACCCTTGCTAAACACCAGTACCCAGCTCAAAATAGCCCTAGCACTGAGAGACACATCCACTAGGTGGAGCTCTTGAGAGCCCTTTTAATTGCTTCCAAGTGCATCCTTTTCTCTCTCTCTCTCTCTCATTTATTTATTTTTATTAGAAAGGCAGATAAGGAGATGATGAGGAGAGAGAGATAAAGATCTTCTGCTGGTTCACTCCCCAAACAGCTGCAATTGCCAGAGCTGAGCTGACACAAAGCCAGGAGCCAAGACCTTCCTCCGGGTCTCCCACATGGATGCAGGGTCCCAAGGCTTTGAGCCATCCTCTACTGCCTTCCCAGGCCACAAGCAGGGTGTTGTATGGGAAGTGGAGCAGCTAGGACATGAACTGGCACCCATATGGGATCCTGGCATTTGTAAGATGAGGATTTAGCCATTGAGCCATCACACTGGGCCCTCCCCTTTCTCTCTTATGGGACAAATATGAGCTGCCTGCAGCTTACTTTGGGCCCAGCAATGACCTTGAAAATGGATGTAATAAGTCAGGGATGACTAAGCAGAAAACTAGAGGCCTGAATCCCTAAAGATACAGTTCAGTCCAGCCCTTGACTGTCCACTTCCAAAACCAAACTGGGTTTTACCAGTTTCAACTACAGGAGTGGAACGGTTGCAGGAACAACTCCAAGTGGTCATCTGCCCTGCACCTTCCTGTCTTGTAACACGGTCCCTGTCTACTTGCCTCACAGCCCTGCCCAGCCTCTGGCTGCACAACACAAGCCCATGGAAGCCTTCAAGCACCTGCCAGACTGCATGGAGCAGATCCCAGTGACCTCAGAGGCAGCACCCAAACCCATCCAGCCCAAGGGAGGCACCAGGCATGCCAGCCCCACCAGCAACCAGTACCTGGCTGACCTCAGATGCTGTATCAGGTTAAGCATGGGCCTCGGTTTTGGTCACCAGCAGGAAGGAGCCAGGTGATGCCCTGAGCTCGCATCTCTACCATTGCTGAGTGAGGACCATGACACCTCCCCGCACCGCCCCCCCCAGGACTAGATCAGTGCCCCACTGTACAGATTGGGAAACTGAGGTTCAGGACAGGAAGCTGGTCCCGGGCCCATTGTGAAGACAGAAATGAGGCTCTGCAGACACCAGCCACAAGGGCTCCTTCTCCATCACCACCAGAATAAGTCAATCTCCTCACACTTCGCCCTCCTTTGTCACTATCGCCATGACCAGAGATACCGCAAGTTTCTTAACACTTTCCATTTCCTCCCCAAATCAGAATGAGGCCCCTTCCATGATGCTTCCCAAAATGCCCCACTGCCTAACTCACCCTTGTTCTTGGCTGCAGTCAGCCAGCTCTCCCTTGCCCCAGCGTTTATCTCCCCTTCTTCTTTCTCAGTGGAACACCCAATGGCTACATCACCAGGGCTGGCATGGTAGTGTAGTGGGCTACTCCTCCATCTTCAATGCCAGCATCCCTATGGATGCCAGTTCGTGTCCCAGCTGCTCCACTTGCAACCCACCTTCCTGCTTATGATCTGGGAAAGCAGTGGAGGATGGCTCAAGTCCTTGAGCCCTTGGACCCACATGAGAGACCCTGAGGAAGCTCTTGGCTTAAGGTTGGCTCAGCTCCAGCCACTGCAGCCATTTGGGGAGTGAATCAGCAGATGGAAGATCTCTCTCTTTCTCTCTAAATCTGCCTTTCAAAATAAATAATTAAATCTTGAGAAAGACTTTATTTCCCAGTCTCGCTTGCAGCCGGGTATGGCTGCTGGACTAAATTCTAGCCCATGAGTTTTAAGCAGAGTGCCATTTATGCTGCAGCTCCCTGTAATGCACTTGGAAAGTCAGCAGATGACAGTGCAAACGTTTGGGTCCCTACCACCCATAGGAGAGACGTGGGTGGAGCTCCTGGCTCCTCGGCTTCAGCCTGGCCCAGACCTGGCCCTCTGGAGAGTGAATCAATGGCTGGAAGATATCTCATTTTCTTCCCTCCGCTCTATCACTCTGCCTTTCCAATAAAGACATTTTGATGCTAATCATGGCAAACTGAATGATGGAGAGCATTTCTCCCTTCCTCCTACCTCTGCCTGGAGCTTGGGTGGTCCACCCTGGGCCATGAGGCCAGGGACCAGTGCCAGCAGAGTCACAGGACAGCAGGTGCCATGTCACAGAGCTGCTCACTCCTCTGGCCCTGACCTCCAGCACTCAGCAAGTGAGAGAAAAGCCAAGGCTGCCAACAGGTCTCCATTACTTGGAGCCAAACAGATGCCCCAGCCCTGCCGCCCGGAGCCTGTGTGGGCTGCAAAACAAAACTGAGCTCCTGGAACCCCCTCCCACAGCCCCCGGGGGCCCCAAAAGAGTTTACAGTTACATATTTACAGTTAGAGATGCTGAACCACTCGCACCTGCCTCATGCCGTTCTCACTGCCCGAGGGCGTCCCTCCCTTCTCTGCCCCACTGCATGGCATACCCACTCAGTACTACTCCCCACAACTACCAGAGATGACGCAGACTCTATCCCTCAAGTTCATTAGTCGCATGGTTCACTCAGACCCAGGGGCTTTGTGATGATGAACAGGACCTGCCCAGTGCCCCCCTCACTGGCCTCCACTCCAGCGACAAGCTAACCAAGCTCCCACCCCAAGACATTTGTATGGGTGGTTCCTGCTTCATGGACAACATCCTGCAGGCATGCCCATGGTTCACCAGAGTTTATGCAAAAGTCTTCTTCCCGGGGAAGCTGTCCCCAGCCTGTCATGCTCCAGCCTCCATAGTGTTTCCTCCTCCTTAGCACCCTCACCCCCAATACAACACACAGCAACGAGCTCATCTGGGTCATCTCTGATACGAAAGAGAGGGAGAGCAGAGATTGTCTCAAGGCTGTGTCCCTAATTCCCAAAATGGGCCCAGACTCCATCCCCACCCCCTACCCAAGGTGTGAACATCACTCCCGGGGAGGACCTCAGGCTCCTGCACCCCGAGGATCCAGGCTGGCCGCAGACAGAGCTTGCCTTGTACAGGGAGAAGCCACAGGTGTCGCCGTCCTCGGACCCGCATGCCTCTTCTTCCTTGGCCGCCATGACACCAGCCACACAGCTCTTCTCCTTCAGGTAGGAGATACAGCACTGCTTCTGGGCTGTCCTGCAACACAGGGCATGGCTCAACTCGGGAGGTCCCTCCACAAGGGGCGTGCCAGCCCCCAGGGCACAGAGGAAGCTCCAACCAAGGCTCAGAACAGGCAAGCACCTGCCCAAGCCTGCAGCAAGTGGGCTTCACTTCCAGGCTTAAGTGAAAAGCCTCCTGGCTGTGGAACACTGATGCTCAGGGGGTAACACAAAGAGATCCTCCTACCAAGATGGCCAGGGAGACCCAGTTCTAGAAAGTCTGGGTACAGGGTAGGGGCAGCCTCCACGAGGGGGTGAGCTCCCCATCCCTTAAAGATGTAAGGATGCTCCAGAGTCATGCAGCTGCAACGCCTGGGACCCAGAGAGTACACACGCTAAGGCCTAGGTGGTCCAGACTTGGTGAGACAGCAGCAAGGAAAGGAATAGGTACACAGCTTGAGTAATAAAACATTTTCTGAAGGAAGCAGTGGGGGCTGGGCACTGGAAAAAGTGAGGGCCCAATCCTGTACTCTCCACCCCTGTAAAAAGACCAGCCTGATGACTCACCACAGCTGCATCCCACTGCCCTGGCACACCTGGAAGCATGGGGTCGGGCAGGCTGCCAGGCAGGAGCTCTGCTGGCTCCAAAATGCCCTCCCTACCTGCAGACATCACCCTCCAGGCCACTCTCAGGAATCTCCAGGCACTCATCATTGTCAATGGCCCACTGCTGTCCAGCTGCGCAGCACGTCTCAATCAGGTCCTTGGTGGAGCCTGTGGGAGCAACACAGGGAGGTATGGGAGCATCAGGGGGCCACCAGGATGGCAGGTGCTGCTGGTGCCCACCCAGACTCCCCCTACCAGGTAAGGAAACATAGCTACCCTGCTGCAGGGCAATTGGCTACTGACAACCTACAAGCCACACCTTCTTTGGGGAAGCGCCTGGCAGGTTGAGCCCTACCCACAAGGGCTGAGAGGAACAAAGCCAATAACCCAGTCTCTGCCGAGCTCCTGTGGGAACAGACCTCGTGGAGACCATGGCTTTGCCCACCTCCTGTTGTCTACTCCTTAGACAGTCTATCCTTAGGAGTGGCCCCAAATGAACCCACACATGCATGAGACATCCTGTTTTAGGTTCTGCTGTTACAGGGCCTGACCTCAGACACCATGGCGAGACAGGAGCTAAGAAAATGGTAGCAGGAAGGGATGTGAACAACTCCCCCAGGGGAGCTCCTGGTGCCCATGTTGGTGGAGGACAGCAAACATACACACACACACACACACACAGATGTCACACCATTCGGAGGGAGGGGAACTGAATGAGATGCAACAGAAGACAGATTAAAAATCCCACACACAGAACCCTCAGGCTCATTGTGCAGCACACTTGGAAAGAACAGAAAGTACAGATTGGATGGAAGGAGCTGTCACCCAGGGCGGGCCAGGAGGGGGGAGGGTGAGCAAGATCAAAGAGAAGAAAGCACACACATAGGAGGATGAGATTAGGAAAGGAGGAAGTGGGCAGCTGGCCCAAGCATCCATCCCTGCAGTTCTGACAGTGGTGACACATGGGTCGGGCTCAGGGAGAACACCCAAGAGCAGAGGCAACACAATGGACTCAATCCCTTTGAGCTGGATGGCTCCTGACCATGTATGTCAGCCCCACCCTGAGGCACTGGTTCCCCCCACAAGTACTCCACGTCCTTCTGTGCAGGGATTAGATGGCCACCCAGGTGGAGCGCTTCCAGGAGCCTCGCACAACCTGAGCCACTCATGTAACCCACACATGCCTGGCTGAGAGACAGACACCCAGGAAGACAGTGGCAGCGAGAGCAGCAGCCTGTCATGGGTCTTTTGCCTCATCCGCCCCACCGCACAGCCAGTCCATGCTCCTCCCCAAGCTTCTGCTTGTTCTTCACTAACACTGAGATGATGACCTTCAGTGACAACCATTACCATTCTGCTTCTGTGGTGGCAGCAGCAAGAGGGGTGAAACTCCGGTTACTGTCGGCCACCTGGAACAACCAACAAACACCACACTCCATGGGCCTCCACCCAAAGTCCTTACTATGACACAAACGCCACAGATGGTGACACTGGCAAATATAATACAGTAGGGAAAAAAAAAAAAAAAGGAACTTGCTCAGCCATTGGAGCAGACAGTGGACCTCAGAGAGCCCTGCACAGCCCCACCAGTGGCCCCACTACTATCGTGGGAGGAGCCACAGCTGCCCAGCTGACCCCACTCACCATCACCACAAAAGTGACCAGAGAGCCTGAGACCCAGCAGCAACCCCCTCAACCCCCACCCCAGCTCACCACCCCTTTCCTCAGTGGTACAGACATCAAGCTCAGCACCATGGACAGCAGCACAGGGGGTGGGAGGGTGCAAGGGCAGAGGGGCATGATTAGGGTACCTGCCAGTAGGGACAAGAAAGTCATCACAAGGAAGGTTTGGGGACAGCCAAGTGGCCAAGGGAAGGGAGATGGTTTCACTCACAGGAATGACACCCAGGCAGACATATTGGGATCATACAATCCCTAAGAAGACTCCTCACGAAGCCCCATGGCAGTGCAGGGAGTGAAGCCGGATATCACTGAAGGAGAAAAGGTGTTCAGGGAGCTGACCTTCCTGACTCTGGTGGGGCTCCTGGTCCAGTAGGACAGCAGCCGGGACCTTGCAGATGGTCTCCACATCACAGGGTCCTCCATGCAAGGTCCTCAGAACTGGGGCAGAGAGGAGGGATGAGGAGTGCTCACGACAGCCAGGCACGACCATCTGGTTCCACGGCAGGCAAGAGACCACAGCAACATCCATTCTCAGGGCTCCAGGGTCATACACAGGAGTCCCGCAAGCACCCCAATCACCACAGAGAGCAGCCAAGAGGGAGGCACGAAGAGGGAAAGAAAACAAGAGGAGACCCAAAGACAGATCCAATCACCCACGGAATCCCAGGAGCCCCAGACCACAGATGGCAGAGACAGCAGCAGCCACTCCTCCTGCTGTGAATTCCTAAGTCCCAAGACCACCTCCACCATGGTTTGCGGTTCTGTTATCCAAGAAGCAAACACAGGAAAGCCCAGCTAAGACAGGAGCAGCAGTAAGAAATGGCGAGGCCTAAGGCAGGACCTGCATTCTGCCTGCTGCCCAGCCAGCGAGAACTACCTGCGCTACCTGGGCAGGACAGGTTTGAAGATGTCTCTTTTTGGTCAGTACACACATGCTTGCTTCAAAGCCTGTTTTCCTTGATACACCTCTAATGGCTTTGAAAAGTGTTCCACGTCAGTTCATTCGACATGTTCAAGAACTTCATTTTTAATTTGTAATAATATCTAATAACTTGGCTTTAAACAAAAGTGAACAAAGACCTTGAACAAAAGCGAGGAAAGGGCAGAGGGATTGCCGAGGAAGAACAGTGTCCCTGTGCGCAGGTGCTATTTCATCTTTCTAGGGAATCCACAGGAAACAAAACTTAACAAGGATTAAGACTAATTTCTATGATACGATGGCCAAAAATAAAGCCAAAATGCTCACAGAAGTAACCTGGTTTTGCACCAGAAAAGTCAGCAGAAAAAGTCCTAAAGAACCCCACTAGGCATGAACGCACGGCGAGTGTGCGCCATCAAAGCAGCTGAGAGAATGTGGCCATCCAGTGCAGAGGACTCTACTAACCATGCCTGCCACATGTGTGAGGACAGTCAGGATCTGAAGATGCGAGTCCCTTGTTTCAACTACTTCAGGGCTCGCATTGTGGCACCACAGGTTAAACTACAAGCTGCAACACAGGCATCCCATATAAATGCTCCACTGTTCCACTTCTGATCCAGCTCCCTGCCAATGCACCTGAGTCGGCAGAGGAGGATGGCCCAAGTGCTTGGGCCCCTGCCACCACATGGGAAATCTGGATGAAGCTCCTGGCTTCTGCCTTGGGCCTGACCCAGTCCCAGCTAGTGTGGCCATTTGGGGAGTGATTCAGCAGATGGAAGATCTCTTTTTCTCTCTTTCTATCACTCTGCCTTTCAAGAACAGAGACAGAGAGAGAAATCTTCCGTCCACTGTTTCATTCCCCAGATGGCTGCAACGGCAGGGGTAGGCCAGACCAAAGCCAGGAGCTCCATTTGGGTCTCCCATGTGCATGCAGGGGTCCAACGAGTGCACCCATTATGCCATAATGTCAGCCCCAAATAAATCTTTTTTTTTTTTAATCTACTTCAGTGCAGTCCCAACATCCCAGCATAACCACCACAGAATCCCTCAAACTGATGTGAAAATTCATCTCAAGAGAAAAAGCTTAAGAACATCCAGGTATCTTTCTGCAAAAGAAGGTAGGTCTTTCTCTGTTAGAAAATACATATTTAAGTTCTACAAATCGAAACACACAGATAAGGAGAGGAACAGAGCAGAGTGTGGAAGGAATCAGGCACCAAGGTAGGAGCCACAGTCAACAGAAGATGCAACCGCGGGGCAGGGCCCACTTCCTGTTCCTGCTTTCTCAGGCAGGATTAGAAGATCAGGTCAGCCCCAAGACAGCCTTTGTCCGGCACACACAGGGGGCCCTAACGGCTCGTCTTCTCCTCCACAGACCCAGCTCCGAGGTGACAGGATCCCATCTGCCATGTTGGGGTGAGGAGGTACAATCCAGCCCCTAGCACAGCACCTAACCTGACACAGGTATTCCCTGAACACTGGTGAAAAGGATCAGACCCTGGGCAGGCAGGAGTACCATGGACCATGTGAACCAAGCACAGCCCAGACATGCCAGGCCCAGGACTCAGAAGTGCTGGGTGCCATGCGGGGCCCTGCCACTCCCTGCCCAGATGCTGCAGTCAGTGCTGGAGTCTCCACGGCCATCATCCCAGCCCCTCTTGTTACAATCTAGGCATGGGGGAGTCTCCCCTTGCTTGAATACTTTGGTGACAGGAAGCTGGCCACGCCTGCCACCCCCACAGCCTGTCCCTTTTCCACACAGTTCCAACACACAACATTCCAGTTTTTATGGGACTGAATCCTTCCTCCCAACCCCTTTCCCAAATCCGCCTTACTGGGATTAAGCAATTGCAAAAGATCCTGGGCCTTTGCCAGAGGGCTGGAGATGGGCGTCCAACAGGGATAACAGCAACAGCTCAGAGTACTGGCCACAAGCCAGGCCCAGGTCCCAGCACTTGAACCCTCAGGTCATTTTTCATGTCTCACAGATGAGGTGGGGAGTTCTAGTCTTGTAGCTCCAGGTCCTGTCTTCAGGCCTCAGCTTCACCGTGTCTGTTGGCAGGCGACTCAGGGCAGCCTATCCTGCAGGTCACCTTCACTGCTCACCAGCAGCAGCCAGCCAGGTGGCCCAGTACTCCTGTAGATGGAATGCCTTCCCTTGCTGCTCCCGGACCACAGACCAGGTTCCTGCCACTCTACTGGCTGTCTTTCCATCCCCCTTTCTTCCTCTGCAAACACAGGAACTTGAAGCTGTGACCCAGATGTTGGGAGAATCACCTACTTGGAGCAGGGGTCAATGGGGTGACATCAGCAGGCATGCTGACATGTCTTACTCCAGCCCTTCCAACCCCAGGTGGGTTCAGGGACCCAAGCACTGAGATTATCTTCTGCTGCTTTTCCAGGTGCGTACTCAGGGAGCTGGATTGGAAACAGCCAGCACTTGAACCATGCAGCAAGCAGAGGCTTAACCCCTGCACCACAGAGCCAGTCCTCATCCCTGCCTACCTGAATCACAGGCAGCTTCCTCCTGGGAGTGTGTCACTGCCAGGGGACATACCTATCCCAG